GAAAATTCATTTGATGAGGTATCACAGTGTTACACAGTAATATTTACTGATGACCACGTCTTGAGCACAATTCACTGCTTTTTATCAGATCATACACCTTGATATGATAGAAACGTCATCAGTAATTACTATTGTGCAACGCTGTTAGACTTTAACAAATAAATTTAATCTATAGTGGAACTATACTCCAAGACAGTTTCCAGATTCTATTCTTACGTCTGCAACAGTGTCATCGGTCTTAGATAATTGATGAATATCTGTGGAAAACTGTGAAATATTGTCTAGCTTGCGTGATTCTCTAGTTGAATATCCATGTGATGTTTATCTCGGAGAGTATGTAAGTGGTTTGAGGTCTGTAAAATTGATCGCTTCACGATTCTCCAATGGATTTGGATTGAAATTTGTGACACGTTGTGCAAACAGGTTGTTCCTGCGCTATGTACCCTACTTTGGTAACTAGCCGTGGAATCCAGGATGCGCATTTCGTCCTATTTGGGACTCGTCTCCCAGCTGGATGTACCTGCATTTTTAGTGAGTGATGATGTTCCCACCGAGGCTCGAACCCAGTGCCCATAGTTTCAAACGCCAAAGCGTCATCCACTGGACCACTCGGGCCACGGAAAATCAAAAATTCAATTAAATTAATATGACCCGTTGCACAAGAGGTGGCTCTCGTGGCTTAAGTGGTCTAGTGGATAACGCTTTGGTGTTTGAAACTATGGGCACTGGGTTTGAGCCTCAGTGGGAACATCATCACTCAGTGAGAAATGCAGGTACATCCAGCTGACGAGTCCCAAATAGGACGAAATGTGCATCCTGGATTCCACTGCTAGTCACCATCCACCAATTAAATACTAATTAAATGCCCAGACATCGTCGAAGCATCTGCACAAGAAGCCGACATGTCAACCTGAGACCGAACACTTCGGTCTAATCAATCGACGGGAAAATCAAAACTTCAATTAAAATACAGTAACACATAAGTAAGTGTCATTTAGAAGTGCAGTTATTCTCACCTACCTATCCGTAGCTTTCATTGAAGAGAGATGTATTACCAGTATCTACTGATTATTTTGAGCACATCAGTCAATGTTGAATATTTGCCAGCGAATGACAACTGCGGTTACAAGTAGTTTATTTAAGACAACAGATGTACATGAGCATTTTATTCATGTTAATCACTTCACTAATATCAACACATTCAGATGAATTTTCAGTTGACTCTCTTCACCTGTCGACATTAATAGATTGTTAGTTAGAGCGATGGACTATCAATCATCATTTCGCGCAATTTCCGAGACCTTCAGTGTACCATTCAAACAAAGTGCTGTATGTTAGTGGGCCCATTTGAATTTGATGCAATGGTGGAGGAAGTTGGAAGAGAAACCTAGTCGACAGCGAGTTTCTAAACAGAAGCATCAAAGTGATGTGAATTCCCGGTGAGGAGTATCGCCAAATCATGATTACCATCAATTCGTAAAATAAGAGTGATTTCACACCATTCTTCATTTCTTTCGGACATTGATCTGATGATGAGGTAAGACTGTTTCGCAGAATATATTTATAAAACCTGCGTCAAAAGATTTGCCTTTGCCAATAGTCGTTTATCATATTCGCCTCTATCATTTTTGGATTTTAAATGTCGATCGTGTCAAAATAGTGAAATGCAACTATGCACCAGATATTCTAATGGGTTCAAACACACAGTGACAATCGGTACATATTTCGTCTGTCGAGAATACTGTTGACCTGTGTTTCATTGCATGCATCTTTCGTTGTGTTGTCCAGTGTGCATTGTCATGTCATCTGAGACTGAGATTCTAGGGTGTTTACGTTTACTTGTAGATCTCTTCATGAATACTGACGCATTATCTATAGATGCGATTTTTGGTTCCAGTCTGTTAATTAATAACTGAAATAGTTTCTGTCGTTTTGCAGTTTACAGATTCCTGATGATACTGTGGTGAGAGCAGGCCGTGAGAAAATATGAGCAAGTCTGATTCAACAACCAATCACAGCAAAGTTAACGTGGCAAATATGATTCGCAGATAGAGAACTTTATTTGTCGAGGAATCCCGAAAATACCAATCAGAAGCCTGCGTTTGTCTGCCTAACTTCTGATAAACAACCAATCAGATAACTGCGCTTGTCTACTTGCATAAGCTGTAATAATGTATGTGAAATATGTATAAATACGTATTGATTTTCATAATAAAACGTTCTGTTGCCTGGCCCTTGTCTTCTGTTGTTACAATGCTACCATCTGTGCAAGTGAAAAGCAACACGTTGGCAGAAGAATCACCAATGAAATGATTTCAGGTGTACATAGAGAAAACAGATGTAGGTGCTAAAGATGCCTGGCGAACATCTACAGCAAAAACAACAGACAAAAATCAGCCAGCATAAGTGGAAGGGACCTGAGCATACCGACCTGGGAAGCATCGTTTCAACTACAGGCCGATGGAATTGACGAGGATATCAAAGCAGGAATCAGAAAAGCAAGACAAGCTTTCATTACTCTCAAGTCTGTGTAGAGATCAACAGCTCCCAGCATCAAAAATAAGATCCTGAATTTCATTTCCAATATGAAGTCAGTGCTACCTAATATACGTACTAATCAGAGACTTGGTGCATCATAAAGAGCACCTCAAACAAACTTCAGACCTTCATTATCAGTTGTCTTCGCTCAATACTCAAGATCAGATGGCCGGCCAGAAAAGATCAGAATCAGGGATCTCTGGCAATGAGCGAACCAACCAACCAGGAACCGATTGTGAAACAAATAGGCAGGAAGAAATGGAGATGGATTGGCTGGCCATACTGTGAGGAAACAAACCATCAAGTGACATCACTAGACAAGCCATTGCTCGAGTGGAACCCGAAAGGGAAGTGACGAGTTGGTCATCAGTGTGAGGGTGAGTTGGGGGAGGTGATGTGAAGAGGAGATGAAAGCGAGTGGACAGATTTCGAGCGGGGTGAAAACGTAGGCAGAAAACCGAAGGCAATGGAGACGCGCGGCTGAAGCCCTATGTTCCTCTAGGAATTAAATGATATAATAATAATAAATGATGATACTAGGCTTCGTGCCTTTTCCAGTCTTTTCTCTTTCAAGTGGAATCGAGCTTCACTGGTGCTTTGAATCATTCAAAACAACATGTTGATCTGATATTGGAGATTCCCACTGAATCACATTTCTTTACGAGAAGTGTGGCTTCAGACACAGAAGCCTCAACCATGCGTTCCTTGGAATTGTGAAGTGATGTCATAGGAAGTGGTTGGTTCTTTGGAGGAAGGAATACACAGGATGAATGGACGCCTGAGTTATCCCATCACATACGAATGACTGATAGGTAATGTTGCTGATAGGATAGCAGAAGTGCCTCGTGAATCCCCCTGATTTGTATTTGAATCTTTAGTCTACTACGCGGATTGATTACTTCGGATTGGTCACGCATGCAGGTCGATTCGTTCAATGGCCTTTTCGCAGAGTCTGTACTATTCTGAATTTCTTTCGAAGCCATAGCTTTACACATTTCTGCGTTTCTGACATCATGACTTACAAACATTCCTGACACCTTCCTTATGCTCGATGTTTGCTGGTACAGTGAAGCTGTTTGTTGTGTAGTACATGTAGGGGTACATGTCGTTATAATTCACACACCTAAGAACACTATTCCTCATAATAGATTTCAAGGGCCAATCTGTATACCGTCCAACCAATCGATTTAAGCCTTCTTCCTATGCAAGTCATTCACTGTCGTTGTAAAACGGCTCTCGACTGTGGCGTTATCTACGAACACTAAGCAGACCGACTGAATGATCCACGGATTCTTAATCCAGTATATTAGTATCGGTTAGGAATTAATTATAGGCATACTTTGCGGTAATCCTCTCCTCGCTGGTCGCCTAGAATTATGACAACCAGTCCTAACTTCAGTTATTTGTCGTCTTACGAATTCCAAGTTGGATGTATTTCTTGTCGTTGAAACATATCAAGAACAGGATTATTAATAAATGGTATATCTTCGAAATGGAAAAGATGAGTATGTGCTGAGCCGATGTACAGAGCAAGCGAATAATCCTCATATTGTAATAAGGAAAGATAATGATGACAATGTGTTGTGAGATGTTGTCGTCGGTGTGCGATAAGCGCGTAGTGGACTTGTACATAAGTATAATAACACCGAACGCGATGTACAACTCAACTGATACGATTAGATGCAATTATTCGTCCCTAATGCCTTACGCGTCACTGAGCCTTGTGAATATCGAAAGACACAGACTGGCGTGTGACTGTTATAATGTAGAATTTCAATAAGGATATACACATCACGTATCTACATCCTTTTCAGCCACATTGAAATTCGACTGGGTTAGTGAAGATGAAATATTCTGATTGGTAGGCGGTTGGCTGAATTTGATAAAATTAGTAAAGAGTGTGTTCCAACGGGGTTATCTCATGTCCATACCATGTACTAGACGCAGGCTTGAGAAATGAACACTTCTCACTCTGCAACCAACCATTGACTTGAACTGATGATTTCAATCTTAATGACTTCCTACACCTGAAATCATCAGCTTTCCAGAGGAAAAAGTCAAATTAGCTCGAATGGTGAGAGTGGTGTGAAGGTTAATGTTCACTAGCCCTGTAGTAATGTTATTTGTGTTCTTCCTTTATATATTGATATGTGGGTTAACACAGGTGTTGCCGATTCACACTGCAGACAGGACCGTGTGTAGAGATGAACCAATTACAGGAGAAATATCACACAACTTTCAATCGGTATATCACGAGCACAAACCTATATTTCTAGTATGCCTCGTTTCACAAGCCCACCCATCCACAACATACTGTACAACATCAGAATGAAGCGCCGTTCATCATTAAAACTGTTTATTAAGAATTCTTCACAAACAAATGCATAACATCACACTTTGTAGAGATGCAGCTTCATGAAGAATATGGATGTAGGAGTGATCCGTTTTCTTGACAGGCAGGATTACTTCAAACGCCTTTCATGTGATTCCCCTTCATTCAGCAGATTATCTTCATGTATCATGCGAGCAATTTCGTCAAGCTTGTCTCCCATTGACCTTTTCAATGTACCTAATTCAAAGAGGTAGAGATGAACTGCATAAACTAGTGATGCACATAAATTTATCATGTCATAAGTCACAGTGTTCAGCAGTGTGAGTAGAGTGCAAATATATTCAAACATTAACAGTGAATATTAGCGATAATAAGAGAATTGAGAAGACTGTATTTCACACAATCACTAGTCTACTGACCTGCTATGGCTTTGAGTTTTGGGTGTGCTTCTGAACAACTGAAAGTCAGTAACAAGAGTATGAACAGACTGACGAGTGTGATCTGCATCGGGAATTCAGACAGAAATTCCACGTACCTTCATTCTGATCTTCTCGCTTGAGCTGGGTCTATGTTATGTTAAGGGTTGTGGACGAGCGTTTATATACACTTTCAATGGGTAGAATTTCACTTCAATTTTCCCATGATGTATTCAGGTGAGTGGGGTCATTGTGCAGTGATAATAATAATAATTATGCGAATTTGTTATCTTCATTGTGAGAATGCAAGCACTGAATGCACTTTAAGGGCAAACTGAATGTGTGCTTCAAAATTCTGGTTCATTCTGCTCACATGCTTCATAAAGATGAGAAATGTTATTGTAATCTACGTGAGCAGATGAATATCATTGATTGAATTGTGTGAATGTGTGTACTGTGTGGCTGCTTTTGGTGTTTTTCTACAAACAACTCCACCACCGTGTCTGAATTTCAATCCATGGTTGTTCTGAAGTATGATTGTGTTGGATCATTGCGGATGGAAGCGGGTATTTTAACTGTTGAACGTCTTATACTTAAGTGGCGATTCTGAGAGGATGTTTGTTGGACAGGTCAGTCGGAATAATACGCCAAATACTAACGAATGTATGTGGTACTCTAATCTGATGGGGAGTAAAACGGATCCCATGCAATAACTGGCTTTCGATGAATTATTTGGAGTATGCATAAATATCGTGCTTCCAATGATGATAACTTGGTACTGAATGCAGACGAGTGACGCATGGATTCGACACGTTGTTAACAAACATCACCTCTGATCTGAGTCAATATAGATGTGACGTAACTGTCGGATATCGCATGATTATTCACAAGGATATACTCTGACAAATATCTACCTTAAATATTGCATCAGTTCATTTCCAAGTATGTCTTAGACAACGACATCACAGAAATTGGCAGAAACAAACACTCGTGGATGTGAACATCAAGATGAAGGTTGTTTGATGATGTCTTGTTGAACTTAAGTGTCATCTGCTTCTCGTGAACTGTGTGATTTTGCTGAATAACAGAGTCCCTCAGAATGTTCAGTAGGAAAACGGATCTGCGTTTACTGGTAGTTAATAAATGAATTGCATTGATTCCAATGGAGAGTAAATCAATGCAAGTTGTCCAACTGCTAACTGCAGGGTGCATGTATCTATTTGCATTCATCCTACACATCTGGAGCAGTTCAGAGAAGTGCTGTGTATTTACTGCAACAATGAATGCACATTTCTGAGGAATATTCGCAGGTGTACACCCCTGGAGTATTCTTCTTCAGACTAAATATGCAGAAGAAGGTTTACAGACGGATAAAACAGTCAACTGACTCTCATGAGTTAGGTTTCCTGGCCTATTAATTGTGCAAATCAGTTTGTATTTGCTCAGCATTCTAAATAGATGCTGGCTACATTTTCTGGGTCCGTTCGATAAGGTGTAACTTGGAAAGTTAACTAACTCCTTCAGAAACCTACACACACTCCTGAGAATAAAAGTCAACACCTGAGATTCTCCATGACACTACACGGATTGGCTCAGAAGAATGAGACTTACCGCAGACTGTCAAAATGTTGTTGTCTAGGTTGGTAGAAAAAGCAGTATTGTAAATCAGTATCACCTTTATGATTTAGAGAAGGGTAGCAGGTGCTGACTTGACATTGATTGGCAGGCGATCGAACTGTTGAAAATATCATTGTGTGTGTGTGTGTTCTTCATTATTCTTTATTATGTTGAACTCGATACAAGTTTTCTTCCTCAAGCTGTGTATTTGTGTGGTCGGTCGATACACAGAGTGTTTATCCGTGAATTCGTTCGAGGCTCTTGATGCATGGCAACTTCTTCGTACTACTTCAACCATCACCACTACTATTACTGTTCATTCTTTGCGTTCTGACTGGAACAACACACCGGCATTGCATTCGGTTCCGCACCATCACACTCTATCGGATCCACAACTTCCTACAAGCAGTCGTCCCTCCTTGACATAATCTTCTTTTTATCACACTCGGACACTCATTTCGTCACTTCTCTGTTTCTGTTCCACTCGACGGGCTGCACTGCGTGCAGGTCGCTTCAACGTCTCCTTCACGTTTGTCAAATAAATATTTTGTAAATAAATTTTGTAAAATAAATTATTAAAATTATTATTATTATCCATCTTCATTGCTTTCGGTGTATTTGTTGGCAAGTAGGTTGTTGAATACTTCACTGGGAGAGTCCCTGGTTGCTTCCTTGTTCTTTCCAACCGGCCATCTTATCTTCAGGATCGAGTGGAGGTGAGTATTGATGAAATTGTACCGTGAATCCCTTTGGAATCACGTTTGCTGGTTGACTCACCGAGTTTGTGTAGCACCCGAAACCGGATACTTGATTGAAGTATTAAAATCTTGAAATCGCTCTACTTTGTAAGAAGTTCTGTGGATCATCCACCACACGAATTTCAGAGTGACGAGCCTATTTTTCGGATTCGTTTATCTGGGTGTCCTTAAAACCTTAATCTGTGCTCCCTGTGTCTCCAACAACGCTGAACATGTGGTTGAAAGTGACGATTCGATTTGTATTTCATGCAGAGATGGCGATTGGTGCAGATTGTTGTTGGCTTGATAGCTCCATGAACCCTGTTTTCTCCAGGTTCACTTGAGGTTCTCTCGTCACTGCTTCTGCTACGAGAATTTTATGTTGATTTACAATTTCTACTATCGTACTGATTAAATGCTTACTGTAGTTTTTAATATTTGCTATATGAATTACAGCCAATTCTGACAAATACAAATTCCTAATTCCATGAGTCGCTGTGTTGTTGGTTCATTTCACGTTATTCGGTCATTCCGAAATACTACTATAACAGATAGCTATTACTTTCCTGACTATCGTTTTTCTAACTTTGAGTTTATGTGATGTCAGAAATAAATCGTATGCAATTTTCAGATCAGCTGGTGCCTTTTTGTCGGTCCGACTCATTCGCTTCTTCTCAATTCTTTTTCATCGAATGCATTTCGGTTGGGATGGTCATTGTATGCGGTAAGCATGTTTGTCCTGCGGACACCTACAATTTGACGACTCCACTAATTACTTCGTAGGAAACTCGAATATCTTTTAATTCGTTCCATTCATCACCAGAAAACAGATTCAATAATAATGTCAAGAGAAGCTGTTAAAATGCAGAACTCTAAGAACATTAAACTCCAAGGATCCTTAGTGCATACATTTATACAATGAATGACAAACTAGTGGAGATTGTGGAAGTATGTTGTTATCAGTGTGATTCAAACTGAACTCTGTGATGAATCGTCTTCATGATCACCTAACTACCTATGGCTTGTGCAGATGCATTCAAGGCTAATTGGAGATTGACTTTAACTCAGAAACACTGACACAAACAATTTCTGAATCAATCGATTAATCGACTAGGAAATGTGACTATCTCCACTGATATTGTTGGTTTGCAAACTGATCTTCCTACCAGCTGTGTCGTTTCCCATCATCTACATCTAGTGAGTGGGTTAGTTAGTTGGTTGGTTCGTTTGTTTGTCTGTTTGTTTGTTTCCGATTTGTCCGTCTGAGAAGGAGTGACAAAGAAGTGTGTGAGAATCCACTGAAATCTGTTCACCCTTCTCTTGCACCATTCTCAAAGTCAAGTCTCCACTCGACAAACAATCACGTATGTATATGTGTGAAAGTTTCGGTCATGACGAATTATTCGAAATACAGGTGTGTGGTCGAAGTTATGATTGACGAAGAGACGAGTTTTAGTTGGAGGGTGGATCGAGCCAACACTCAGGGTTATCACCAGCTGAATTTTGAACTGAGAATCGCATTTTCACTTTAGTTTATGCTTCCCCGAAATCAGTCGTCAACCGACACGAAACTGTCTTCAGAATTTTGGAAAATTCACCAGCCACTGCCCTGCTAACTAACTGAGATGCATGTTAGTTGTGGCCGTCTGAACATTGAAGTAGATTAGAGCTCTACAATCCACAAATCTGCATAAGTAATTAGTGAAACACGTAATGACCTCAATTCCTCAGTTGTAGTTCTCAGGATTGTGAAAAGTACATCAGCACTGAGAAGCCTGAATTTGAAAAACATTGAAATAGAATGTGAATATTGGAATTCTGGGTATACTTCAACGTGGGAAAGTACATTCTCCTTCCCCCTTCTCACACAACCAACATTCTCATTCTTAACACCCACAACATGAGAAACATCAGGTGAAATTCTCTTCACAATAACCATATATATACAAACACACACCTCGCCTAACCGTAAGGCGAAATCTCAAACAGAAAATCTCAGAGGAGAAGAATACGATGAAGGCGAGTTGCATTCTCATCTGAAACATCAATGTAGATCACATTCATCGGTCTATGCATACTCTCGTTGCTGATCATCAGTTGTGTAGAGGCACGATCACGTCCAAAAGGTGAGTAGACTGTTGTTCGTGTTTTATGCTGACTGGTCAATTATGTTGTTGGCGCTGGTAGATGAGATTGAACTTCTGACACATTTTCATTCTCCACTCACTCACTCACTCACTCACTCACTCACTCACTCACTCACTCACTCACTCACTCACTCCCTCAGTTAGTCAGTCAGTGAGTCAGTCAGTCATTCACTCACTCACAAATATTGTCAATAACACAACACACGCTATTAATAACTATAATAATAATTATTATAATTGCTATCTACTTTACTTCCACCAACAGCTTTTATCATACAGCATGGAATATTCAGCATTTCTCACTGTATTGCATCTAATTCACTCAAAATATGAATCAAAGTAACCACAAGATTATTTCCATGCACATTTACAGTAGGAATATGTATGAATGCACGTCACTGATGCTTTCTATTTATTGTTTATTTCTGATTGAATTAGATGAATGGGTGAAACGATCCGTACTTGTCGACAGTGAAGACGTTCCTCCAATTGCACGTCGACAGATCTTTGATAAATTTGGTGAGGAGATGAATAAGAAAAGAAGTTTCTTCTACCACCAATAAAGCTCTCATGAACTGCCTTCTTTTATGTGTCTGTCTGCTTATCTATCGTGAATTGACTTCTCGATGTCATGTCGACTTATTATATGATGATTGGTGTGAAATGAATAAATTATTGGTTTTCTAAAAGTTGTTCTGCTCTAATATTGCACATGAATCTGTGTATTAAGTTGATTGACACGGCATTTAATTCACTTGAACGGACTACAAGCTTCGTTTAGTTTACTCACTGTTGGTGATATCGTTTCCTATAAAACAATTCGCTGAATGGAGTTATTTTTTATGTAAAATGACACCAGTGAAGACTGATTTAGACTACTTTCCGTAAAGCCTACATGCCATATCAATACACATATTCTACCTTCTGTGAATATGTAGTCAAATATAGATTGCGTGAATTATATTCTAGAGGATATCGTTTATATCTCGGATGGATTTCAATTATTGCGAGATTCTCTGACGAATTACACTGCACACATTACATTGCTCATTTCATCCCAACACAATTCGTTTGCATAAGTCTGCATTTTCACTGATGCAAATAGTTTAAGTATCTGAAAGCTCAATAGTTATCCGACCTTATCGCATAAGCTCTACCTGTTCGCATTTCATATCATCACAATGAGCAGAAGTGTATCTGTACTAAGTCAGGTGTACAGGTGTGAATGTCTCAGTGTGAATTCAGTTTGACACTGCTCATGCATGAGTGGTTAAACTAATCAAATTAATGTGGAGCGTCAACTGGAAGTGATTAACTGAAGTTTGCTTGCAAATGCTCAACAAGAATCTGGTTTCATTCACATTGAGATAAAAGTCAATCCTATTTAGAAAATTGGGATATATGTGAAACATGATCACTGAGGTAGTTTAGAAAACGCAGGTTTCGAAGTTTTTTGATTATAATTCATATGATTTAAGTGTTTGTTTATAGGGATTTGGTTGGTTTCAGGATTTAATCATGAGCTGACATTAGTTAGAAAATCATTGGAAAATCTGGGAGTACTGGACAGCTGTTTCGTCCTAGTTTGGGACTCTTCAGCAGTTAGCACCCACCGGGATTCGAACCCAGGACCTTCCGGTCACAAGGCGAGCTCGTATACCAATAAGCCACTGGGACCCTATCCAATGGTCCTTGAATTCTAACTTGTGCCAATTCACGACATAGCGCGACCGCTAGCCAATGTCTTCGGCGAGTATTTGTAAGCAGTAACATGTGTTGGAAACTTCTTCATGCGTCAGACTATATTACTGTTTCAATGACTGTTTGATGCGTCTTATAAACAAATTAATATGGAAGTGGTGACAAATTATTGTTCTGAGGTGAATATGTAGTCAAGTGTTGGGATTTATTTCATCCTCCGTGGGCTAGTAGATATCTGTTAACAAGGCGTGCTATTCAGTAAATTGGCTGGTTGATAATATACTTTTACACTCTAGTGTATGTTGCACAATGATGATAAGAGTTGTGACTGATGAGATATGCTCGTCCATTCAGATGAATTTCAGCCATCTCGATTTCAATGGTCAACTCGTTTATCATTGTTGACTTTATGAGACTGAGGACTATTTGTTTTCAGTGAAGAATAGCTTGTCAGTTGTCACTGGAAGCGTGTTGTGATTGCTCATCTCTGTACTGTCTTCATTCCATCGTTAGCAAAAACATCATTGAACAGCCGGAAACGTCGTATCCTGTCCTCTCTAGGTGGAGCAGTTCTAAGGGAATAAGAGGCAGAGTGATGGAATGTAATGGTTCTTACAGCTTTCCAGTGCATCTATCCACATGATGTGTCTCAACAAATGGAAGCAGATATTCACAAAACCTAATCACCTGAAACCTCGTGTATACGAGTGATTCTGTCGAGACCAGCGAATCCTTGAAAGATATAACAAATATGCGAAAGACAGTAAATTCATCACCATCGGTCAACTTGATTGTCAATAACCTTTAAATTCAACCGAATTTCTCCATACAGACAAAAATTCGACCGCAATCTCTCAGTCTCCTAGTGACTGTCTGGTATTTCTTGTGTAAATGGACATCAAACAAGTTGAGAAGTCATGACTCAACACAGTAGCATTAATGCGGAAAAGATCATTATTATTTTTATTGCTAAAAATAAAGGATGATTAGTTGCCGTACTGTAATTGAATCTGAATGTGACCGTGAGCATCATGTTGTCAGTATGTGAGATAAATTCTGCTCGAAATATAATCAGTAGGTCGTTTTACACTATTGTGTGTGTTGTCTGAAATAAACGTATTCTATCATGGAATGATACTACCCACCAACTTTGGTGATACAATGATAGAATAGGTTAGAATCAAGTATGTGATGCAGGCGAGATTTCCTGTCGATAGAATGCAAAAGCTCGCATTTCCCACTATTCGGTAAATAGTCGGAAACACAAAGAAGTCATCAGGCTAACCACATGTAAAGCAAACGACAGATGGTGGAACATCACAGAATGAAACCAAGTGACGTTTCAGTGGCAGTACTCAAAATTCGAAGAAGGTGATGCAAAACCCATATAATGATCTTGCCACTATGGGTGCTCAGAATGTTTCATTTGATAGGCAGAAGCTGAAAACCGATTCCACAAAGTCATACATCACATCATCCTGCTCAAACTTCTATCCGGGCTTTTTTTCTACTGTATTTGGGGGGGAGGGAAGAACATCATATGCCTACACCGAAATTACTCCTACAGTCACGTTCCTTCATGCGAATGAAACAAAGATCCTGGTAAAGCGAAGACAGTTCGTGTGCAGTTTACGTGTCTCAGTGTATTTAGTATCCTTAAATATTTCACGGATCCTTGGGATTTGTAATTTTTTTTATTTACAGCTTGATTCCACACTGTATTTTTGGTACAAGTATGGAATTTTCAGCATGGATATCAGCGGCCCAAATTTTGCAAGCCAACCATAGATATTGGGTGTGCGTCGGCTGTGGGTCGAACCTCGGACCATGTGCATGGTCGGCGAGAGTCCAAACCACTGTGCTACCGACGCACAATATGTTAGTCGCCATTTCATGTGAGTACTCAGTGGATCACACAGATAGGAGTTGGAGGACTGAAGTCTGAGTAGAAGTGAATTCATGCATCCACTGGATGGCGCTACTAGTCTCAGAAACAACCTTCGCTATTTTCCAGAATTCCTTACATTTAGACCGTGTGTGGCGGTGCAAGAAGTGGCGAGGAATGGAAGCCACACCACTTGAGAGGTTGGTCAACATTCTACAACGGAAGCACTGAAGCTCCGTGTTATGCGTATTGCTTTCCTAAATGTTCTGTCAGTGATGATGTTTCATACAGAAAGAACCTTTGCAATCAGGGAACACAAATAGGAAATCAGTAATTCTAGGCTCCTCCAGTTCTCAGCAACAACAACAGCATATCATGTCATGTGTATTTTTCATATTTCATGTTTTCCTCGCAAGTGTACAATGAGTGACACTAAGCGGAGAAAAATGGACAGCATGAACCTTCATCAAATTCTCAGCTGATCTCTTCATATTCATCAGTTGTGTTATGGAAAAGATGTAAGCTGTATGCATTTCACTTAGCAACCCCCATATGTGAACACCAGCAGATTTTTACAAGTAGGAGAATGGCCCTTCACAGATTTCGACTAAACGTAACATTACCGTTAGTTAACTTAAAGTGAATTTCGTCCTCAATTACAGATTAATACTCGATTCGCGAGTTTCGATAACTTCTATGAGATGATTGAATTCACACTTATTCATATCAGCAGACAGAGCAATCGAGGAGAAATGGTTCAGGTAGACAAGTCAAATATTTATTGACCTTAACAATGAGTAGTATGTAGTAAAATGAAGGATTACAAGCGAATTTCACATATCCAGAAATTGTAAAATGTTGCAGGGAATGCGATTGAAGGAGAATAAAATGGAAATACATCACTTAGTGATGTCACCTTGAATGTCGCCATCATTCAACATACACTGCTCGTACAAATGTATGCAATACGTAGAGTGTGAGTCCACATATGAATAACGTGATTTTATTCAGCTTACAGTCAGTTGACGTCAGATGAATAATGATCAGACAAAATTCTTATCCAACACTACACTTCGTCATCAGTCATATGTTCGTCACGCAGTAGTGCTTAACAATCCGGAAGGAAGTTCCACTTCAATAGATCCCTTCTAGTCCTTCATCTCTGTCATTCACATATCAACCAATTCAACATGGAACATCTTAATTGGCACGCTATTGATCAATTCATTTATTCTAGGACAATGTGACACATACCATTTGTACAAATTATGAACGTGGTTATCAGAGGCTAGCCATTTCCATCTCTTTGTATGCATCACACATCTACTGACATTAAACCTCTTATTTCTCGTGTATGCCGTAGAATTCAATCAGTCTATGTGAATTCCACGTTCAATTAAGTACAACTGACATCATTTGAACTGTACACAAGCTTAACATGAAATCGTTGATGAAATGGAATTTCATATATGGAATTCAGAGGGATAGGGTCTTCCTTAATCTAAATCTTAACAAAGAATACATGAGCGCATCCACTCTCCAAAGTCAACACCATTTACAAGGCTCCGAAATAAAATAAAAAGGCATCTAACTCGAATTCGGTCACATGTGAACATAACATCAAATATCCCGAAATCCCTAAAGGCATGGTTCACTCAGGTATTATAATCAAGAACACTTCTCATATCATCTCCAATAATGACGAAAAATTCCTATTCCCCTGTACCGCACTTTGGTGTTTACAAAGTATGTCTCCACAGGCTACTCGACAGTAACGAGATCACCAGAAAATTGAAAAACTCTGCATTCCAACCTACACCCAAATTCCACACAACAAATCACACCAAACATCCTCATTATCAATAAAAATTTGAAATACACAATATCAGAGAAGGAGGAGGAGAGTTTATTCTTCACAATAATCAATAATACAACAAATCGATGCATACTGGATGGATGGATGGATGGATTGATGTAAGAATTGTGAACACATGTCGACAGCTGATTATCATCACACTAATGTTGGCCACATTCGTCACATTCTTCACACCGTCTTTTGTATTTGGAGAGTTGATCACCTGCTCAGCGGCTGCCTTGAGCA